GGATGTCTCGACTCCAATTAGGAGCCATCAGACGCAGAGATTATAAAAGAATGCAAGAAGGAATGTCCTAGGAGGATGAATTCTCAGACACTTGTTCTGCAATCGCTTCTGACGATACAATGTCTAGCACGGGACAAACCAAAGAAGTGTTCACAATCACTTCTGATCAATTTGCTCAAATGCTTCAAGAAACTCTAGCGAAGCAACATGAAGAAATCAGGGCTGAGATGAAGACAGAGATGAAGTTAGCTATTCAACAAATGAGAGAGTTGCTAACTCAACAACCTCAACCTCCTGAGTCCAGTCAGCGAGCTGAATCCAGCCGCCACACTCAGAATGGTGTAGATGACAGTGATCCAGAAGTGGATGAAATCATTATGGCTGATACACCTTCCAATAACAATAACATTGGGGGTGGTTCAACAGATCCTCCCAATAACAACATTGGGGGTGGTTCAATTACACCGTTTAGTAATACTGGGGGTGGCCCAAGTATCTCTGCTCGACATTATTCAGAAAGAGACGATGACGGGAAAATGCAAAAGCTTGAAGACAAAATCAATGCTTTGATGACGGCTCAAGAAGTTAAGAAGACGGGTATTCCATGTCCCTATCCGAGGGAATGAGATTCAATACTATACCCGACAAAGTTCAATCTGATTAACTTCACACCGTTTGAGGGGAAGAGTTCGCCAATTCAGCACTTGATTTATTTCAAGTCTCATTTGGGCATGATCTCTGGAAACGAGGCTTTAATGGTCCGGTCATTCGTTGGCACCCTTCGCGGACCCGCCTTCGATTGGTACCGACGGCTCAAGCCAGAGAGTGTCAATTGCTGGGATGACATGGAAAGTTTGTTCCTTAACAACTTCTTCGATGATGATACCGAAGTGTCAATCAGAACTCTTTTGGATGAGAAGCAAAAAGACGGAGAGTCAGTCGATGATTTTGTCAAGCGCTTCCGTGGCAAAGCAATGAATTGCAGAGATCCTATTACAGAGGAGTTCATCCTGCAAACATGCCACAATAACCTCTCCATCGATGTCCTGGAAACTCTGGGGGTCGTGCCATCCACAACTTGGAAGGAGTTAAAATCTCGGGGTGAACAAGCTGAGCACTTTCTTAAAAGAAAGAAAGCTGAGAGAGGCCAACCAATGACATCTGCAATCGTTGAGAATGCGACTCTCGATCCGAGGTTTTAAAAGGAATATGCTTTCGAAGATGACGAAGCTCCAGCCATATTGGAATATCTTCTCGCCAATGATAAGATTGAGCTACCGCCTATTAAAGATCAGGACGGAGCTAAGAGGATTACGGATCTAAATTACTGTGCATACCACAGAAGGGTTCTTCATCCCACCGAGATTTGCTTTGGACTCAAAAACAAGATCCAAGCCCTAATTGACTCCGGCGTCATAACGACGAAAGAAGTCGAGTAAAGACAATCAAGACTCCGATGAGTATACGAGTATAAACTGCTTCTCCATCTCACTCCAAAGAGTATATGAGTATAAACTGCTTCTCGGTCATCCAACTAAGTACAATGTTAAACCCGGTTTCGCAAAGGAAGCTTGGGATGGATGATTTATGTAACGGGGAGTTCCTGGAGAATCTTATATTCTTAAGGATAATCCGAACATGCGACTGAGGATAACGTACTCCTCGTTACACCCAGTTTTGCAAAGAAAGCTGGGGGTGGATAATTCATGTAACGGGAAGTTCTCGAAAGAATGCTATATGTAATTTTCTTAGGGATAACCCGATCATTACAAACAAAATGATAAACACTACATCCCCACGGTGATTTGCGAATACTCTTTTGCTGAGGTGAGATTCGATCACTTCGTTGGATCAATCTTCCCTCACAAAATTCTCTCATGGTTAAACCTTTAAACGGTTAGGTCCAAAGCCAAAATCCCCTCTCGATTCGTTGCATGAACGAGAGGTCAATAAATCGAGCGATCAAACCTTCCTACAGTTAGGATCGTCTCAAAACTCCTACTTGGTCAAACCTTACTATAGTTAGGACCACAACTAAAATCTCTTCTCGATTCATTCCAAGAACGAGAAGTCCACTTTCAGTTGAATAATCAAACCTTATGACAGTTAGGATTATTCAAACCAATCCAGATTCTCTAAGTGGAGATCCCACTTGTGTTTGCCTGTCTCGGCCCGCGAGACAGTAAACACTGTCTCGGAAACGAGTAAACCGTCAGGCAGTTTTCGTTTAACTGCCTTCCACGCTTTCAAACTTCCGTTATTTGGCAGTTATCCACGTGATTTTCGC